TAAGACAAAAAGGCAAGACATCTGGAATAAGACACTTGTCTTAGCTAGAGAATCCAGAAACACAAATTCAAATGGCCAAAACAGGTTAAAAAGAAGTTTGAACTGTAAAATCCTCTCAGTGTCTTTTTGTATGTCATCAGACTGGGACATATTTCACCCTTTTAATGTCATAACTAACCTTTCCCTTACTTAATACTTTGTTCAAATTATAAAACAGGGAAACTGTGAAGAGCATTAGAAAATCAGATTACTCAAATGACTTATGAAAATGATTGTTTTCCAAATGGAAGACTTGGGAAGCTGTGAGATTATAGGATATAGTGTTTTGGGTTTTTTTTTTTTCAGTCAGAATTGAATCTGTAGTCTAAGAGACCCAGAAGTCTCACGTTAGTTGGAAGAGAAAACCTATACTATTTTCGTAACTTCAACAATTAATTAAAACATTAAGAACCCTAAGATTCATATGTTGCTATGAAAAATGCTACCAAAAGTTGTTTAAATTAGTGAATGGAAGAAGGTGAAAGTTTCCAAATGAGAGAGTTTGTGACTGACTTACCTACTAGAACTGCTTTTGGAAACCAGATCCTTTGTTGATGATGTAGTTTTCTTCAGATTCTACATTAATGATGCAATGGAGCTCAATTTGTTTTCTGCAAAGACTCATTTTATTGAGAATGTATCCTCCTTAGTAGGCAGTTCTGTATAGAGTAGCTCTGGGGCACAAAATCTGCTCAGCTGTTTTGTTTTAAACAGAGGCAAAATCTGGAAAGACTTTCCATGTCATTCTCCTGGGGGATCCCCTAGCTACATATTTTCTCATAAGAGTTTAAGTGATGATAATTTATTCAAGCTATCTAGTAAAATCCAAGAAAGAATGTTACAACAACATAATAAAATTTAGGTTTAAAGTGTGCATTTATTATTTTTCTTAGTAGTACATAACACTCAATTCTTTGCACAGTATCCAGTATATAATACAACTGAATCAAGATGTGAATCCCATGCCTAACAGAAATTAAATAAGTTTCACAGACAGGCAGTGACAGCCAGACAGCTCAGCTTTGGGAGGTTATCACTATATTCAGGATCGAAGGGCCTACTTAAACTCTTGCTTCCTGTGCATTAGAGGAACATTCGATTTCATTTTTCTCAGTTCTTCTTTTATGTATGTTAATGGTTTTATGTACATTAGTGTATGTATTTTAGTGGTGTTGTGAACATTATCAGTTTTATTGTGAAGCCATATTTTAGGCATATGTCTAAGTGAAAGAAAAATAATAGAAGGATAGTTCCTAATTTGCTATTGTATAAAATAATGTGTCAATATAGCTCAATTTATTTTTTTATTTTAAAAAAAATATTAAGACAAAAGAGGACATAACAACACAGGTCAGAACAGAACAATTTAAGCAACATAGTGTTTCACCACAAAACAATCTGACATAACTGTAGCTACCATAGTGTATCTTTGCTTGAAGTATTTGAGTATAACTTCATATACTATAGTATCAAACACAACAAGACAGTGTAAAACCATTCAAGAGAATGAAAGTATTACAGGGTACTCAGAACCAACTAACAGTAAATGAACAATGGTTACTATAGTATCTCCTTGTCTATAAAAAATTTTTATACTATCACATATAATAAAGTACAATAAGATACAACATGATAAAACTGATGGAGGCAGAAGAACAAAAAGCTTTGTGGGACTTCAAAACAAGATGATATCAAAATATCACTAGCTATTATAGTGTCTTGTTTTCTCAAAAATAGCTGTTTATATGATCACAGACAATAAAATCAGACAACCCGGAATAAAACCATTCCAACTACTGAGTGAAAACATTATAAGGCTTCAAAGCAATATAATGGGGAATCATGATTACCACATACTTTTATGTATTCTTATCATTTCTTACACTAGGGAAATTATTTGGTATTTATACATGTGAGTTTGATTTATTTTGCTTATGTGTATGGTCTCAAGCTGTGTCCATTTATTTATAAATATCTCAATGTGATCATTCTTTATAGCTGAGTAGTACTCCATTGTATAAATACCACAGCTTTTTTATCCATTTCTCAGGTGATGGACACTTAGGTTGTTTCCAAGACCTGGCTATTACAAATTGTGCTGCTATAAACATGGGTACACATATATCACTGTAGTATGATGTTTTCAGTTTTTCTGGGAATATGCCTAGAAGGGGAATAGCTGGAACGAATGGGACTTACAATCCCAGCTTTTTAAGAAATCTCCAGACTGACCTCAATTTACTGAGAATAAAAATTCATCGGAATTCCTTACAGCAAATAATGAATATTCCCTTTATTTGTCCTCTCTCAATATTACTGATCATTGACCAAATCACTGCCCATCTTATAGTGTATCTTTCTATTACTGTTCTGATAAATAATTAGAAATATACATAAAATGACCAGCAAAATATTGGGGCAGAAAAGAAGTCAAATCATTGCCGTTATCTGAGCTCAAGGCAGTACAGAAATCAACAGGCCTTTACATGGCCTTTACATTTGAGTATCTCTGGTGCTTCCACCCCTTTTCTAGGGGCATCACTAACACTGGATTAGGATTCCCTTTGAATCCTATTTTATATTAACCACTGTTAAGTATCTTATTGTCAAAAAGGGTTATTTTCAAAGGTACTGGGGGTTGGAATTGCAATGTATGAATTGGGAGGGCAAAATTCAACCTACAGAATTAATCCTTGTGATAATTATTGCCACCCTGAGTTTGAAGGCTCAGCCAAATCTTCCAATTTTCTTTAGCTTTCCTAGAAATTTTTTAACACTTTGACTCCAATAAGCCAAATTCCACAGTAGAACTCCAGAATTCCAGTGTACATCAATGTACAACTTAAAAAAAATATTGTTGACCATCTCAATGGTATTTTCTGAACACTGTCAGAGAATATATTTTTTTAAAATCTCAACAAATCATAACATGATTTCCAGTGCCTTCAAAGTACTTTGCAAATTAATTCTAGCTACTTTATTTGAAAATAGGCTTTGTGGTATGGGGCCACATGACCAAGAAACTTTTAACATTTGTGTGGATCTAACTGCTGAAGAAAATTAATATCATGGAATAGTTGCTAAACAATGTATTGAGTGTCACAACTTAAACTGTTTTCTAGATTATTAAAACAGTTTGTCATTACAGTTTTAAGGTAAAGAATTTTGAATGATAGAATTTAAGATTCTGTCATAGATGGGACATTTAATAGGATTACTTTTATTTTTTGACATGAAAAATGGACAGTATGGGAGCCATTATGCTTGATTCCTGACTATAAGATGACAAAGACAAAGTCATTGATAGGGAAGAAAACTCCATCTTAATATGAGAACATAATATCAACAATTAAAGTTTTCCAAAGGATGCTATGTTGCTCTGGGTGCTGGTTGGTTTCCCAGGCCTGAGAGTCTCAGAGCACAGATTTTTATCACTGAACAAGAATAGTATTCATTCCCATAATTTTTATTTCAAGGAGAATAAAACCCAACAATACAAAACAAAATGAAGCCAATCAAAACAAAGAAGTGAAAGTGGTACATAACTTCAAAATGGGATAAAAGGCCATCAACAATGTCTATAGTAATATATTTTGTTATCTTCACAAATGTTGATTTCTTCAGACACAGTAAAATTGAATAAAACAAAACAGAATAAAACCAATCAAAATGGAGCATTGAATAAAACAAAACAATATATTGGAATGAAACCAAACAGTGACAATAATATTGTATTTCAAAAACAAGACAGAAAGAAATCCCCCATATTTCATGTGTTGCATATGGCCATCCTAGTAATACACACTTAGATCACTGCCTTTATCCTACAAAGTCATCAAACAATATAATCTGGCTTCTCTCTCCTGGGCCCCACCTGGTTTGCATGGCTTACTGGAAGACCAAACAAGCTTCTTGATGTGCTCTTCTCAAACCCTTATGGCCTCTCTGACTCATGGTGAACAGTGAACTGGCTTCTCTTCTCTGGGCCCACATGGTCTGACTCATCCCTGTATTTTATCAGTTGATGGGTGAGAGTATATATATGAGGTTGCCCTCTTTAACATTTCTTGAATTTCAAGTTAGTTTTACTTTGATGGCTCGATGTAATTTCTAAATTTTCTACTTCAGTTCATGTTTAAGAGCAAGGTACAATCAAGGTTAAGGGGAAGACAAATTTTGTTCTCATAGTGACCAGATCCCAGATGGCATTCAAAATGCAGTTTCTCCATCAGCTTAATTATTTATTAAACAATTTTTATTTTATTAAACAAATTAAGCTTCTTTCTAAAATTATATTAATGTTACTCATTACATCTATTATGTGCAATAGAATGAACAGAAAGACAAAGATCTGATCAATATAGAATGTCAACCTATTTGTTTCCGAAATGCTGTGACAAGAAAAACTGTACTGTTTAGATGAAAATGTGTTTAACCCAATGAGAGAAGAAAGTATCAATTTAAACAAATAGGTCTGAAAAATATGTACAATGGATCCTATGAATAAACTGAACCTGCTGATTTTTCTGCTAGGGGTGGTGGTGTGTGCCTGTAGCCCTGGTGCTCAGATGACTGTGGCAATGCATTGCCAGAAGTTTGAGGTCACACTGAGGACTACATAGTGAGCTCAATGTTAGCCTGAACTACATGTGTGAGAACCTGTCTCAGAAAACCAAACTAATCCAAATCAAAACAAACCAGATTAAACCAAACCTAAGCAAACCAAACACAAGCAAAGAAACAAAACAAGTAGCTTTTTGGAATAATCAAAATACGATTTACATAAAAATACTATTTTAAACTCTTACATAAAATCACTCATAGGTAGCCTACTAAACATATGATTAAGGTATTAGTTATACATTTGAAATAAACTATCAAATGTTTTGAAATGCTAAATGACAATAAATTTTCTCAAGGTAATAGAGTCCTAAGAGCTTACAGAAAGCACCAATGTGTTCTTATAAATTTTTTAGGAAACTTCCCAAACTCAGTAACTGACTAGTAAGTCTTTTCATTGCAAGCCTCATGTCTTTATTCCTTAGTGTGTAAATGGCAGGATTCAGGATAGGTGTAATCATAAAGTCCACAATGGCAAGAAACTTATCCACTGACACTGTGGGAAATGGCCATGTATAAACAAAAATGCATGGTGCAAAGAACAAAACTACTACAGATATGTGAGCTGAGAGAGTAGAAAGGGCCTTGGCTGACCCTCCTGAAGAGCGTTTCCACACAGTGACCAGGATGAAGACGTAGGAGATGATCAGTAAGAAGAAGGTGCCTGTTGAAATGAATCCACTATTGGCAGTAACCATGAACTCCATTCTGTAGGTGTTTGAGCAAGCAAGCTTTATAAATTGAGGAAGATCACAATAAAAGCTATCTATTTCATTTGGACCACAAAATGGTAAATGAATGACAAAAGCTAGCTGGGCAATTGAGTGAATGAGACCAATAACCCAAGCACTTGACACAAGCAAAATGCACGTCCATGGGCTCATCATGGTCAGGTAGTGCAAGGGCTTGCATATGGCCACATATCTGTCCAATGCCATGGCTATGAGGAGCACCATCTCAGATCCACCCAGTACATGAAGGACAAATATCTGGAGGATGCACCCCTTAAATGAAATGGTATTGTGCCCAGAATATATGTCAGAAATCATCTTAGGAACTGTTAAAGTAGAAAGAAATAAATCAATGCATGAAAGGTTGCCTAAAAAGAAGTACATGGGGGAGTGTAAGTGAGGGTCAATGACCACTGTAAATACAACAAAAATGTTTCCCAGAAAAGTTGTTATGTAAAACACTGTAGAGAAGGTAAGGAGAACATACTGTATTGGTCTAGATGCAGAAAGTCCTAGAAACACAAATTCAGATACCTCAGTGTAATTTTCTTCATACATTGATTTTGTCTGGTATTACCTAGAGAAAAAATAATAAATAATCATAAAAAGAACTTATCCAAAATAAATATTGAATGAAACAGATTTGTGTTATTTTCAAATATTGAATAAAAGAAAAACACACATGTTTACTTACCACAGTGAATTTTGGAAAATTTTGCTTTCATTTTGTTTATTCAGCCAGCTATAATTTCTAACAATCCACTGTATACCAGAAAGTATTTCAGGTTCTAAGATGAAATATGATCATGACTTCAGGTGGAGCTGAACAAATAGCCATAATCAATATATGCTGTGTTAATTAATTTTGTGGAGAGGGACAGAGTATTAAGAGAACAATGTGATTTATACCAAGGATATTTCTCAGACTATGGTGAAGAGACAGGGTACCATTAAACAATGAGTACAGTAAGAATGTTGCCTTTTATCCTACATAGTAAGGAGGCATTGCAAGGTTACAAACAGTAGCCTAATCATATTTCTATTTTCAAATTGTAACAATGTAAGGAACAGAATGAAAATATTAAAGAAACTATAATGACTATCAGGACAGCACTGAAAAACTGTATCACATTATGTGAACAGGATGAAATTGTTCAATCAAGGACCCTCACAATTAAAACTTAAAAAATATGTAACTTGCTTCTCAATATAAACTCAAAGGAGTTTCAGATGATTATTTAAATATTAAAAACAGAAACAAACTTCAAAGAAATATAGGAATACTTGGGTAAATACCAGGTTGGAAAATTCATTCTTAATTATATAGCTACATTAACAAATCAAAAAATAATATTTTGAAACCACTAAAATAGGAACTATTATGTGTACACATTGAGCTATAAAAGATATTATACAATAGGTCTACAGTAATATTTTATATGGATACGTAAGTGCTACAAAATGTAAGTATTATTTATATTATTGTTGAAAACACCTTCAAAATTTCAAATGATCAAGATATTTTATACAAAATTATTTCTTCTTAATTGTTAGAGAAAACAAGGGAAATAGATTTAAAAATGAAAAAATATATGGAGTTTATTGCAAAAGATGATATCTGAATATTCATTAATTATATTGAAAGCAAAACTCATATAATCAAAGGTCACATAGGGTGTTATGTAGCAGAAAATAAATTGTCAAAGTCTTTAAGTATTATAATACCATGGATGAGGCTCTGAAGATGGATGCTTAGGTGCTGGTACCAATGGTACAAACTGATATAGTGTCTACATAAGGCATATTTAAAGAAGATCTCAAGAACGTAAAAGTCTTCTTTACTCATCACTAAGAATACTACCTAAGAAAGTTTGCCTAATAAATTAATGTTAGGTAAACTAAAAAATAAGTTAAGGGAGCACATTACATACATATCTATAGAAAGAAAATTTATAAACAAACTAAATGCTTAGAACATAGAACAATGCTAAGTAAGTACAGTTGAGTAGAAAGTGAAGGTTACAAGTTATAAACTATAGAAATCCTATTTTTTAAAAAATTAACTAGAAAAAATCTAACAGATACTTATCTTTAATATTTATTTAGCTAAATTGATAACCACCATGCTTATGTGCCTTATTAGTTAGAATAACTTGAAATTGTTATGTTAGTACATAAAAATATGGTCAAATATCAATTTTTATACAATTTGATGCAATGTTAATTTTTCTTTATGTAATTTTCTAGACTATCTTTAAGTGGCTAAACATTATAAATGATCTGTCTACACCTGAAAAAAACCCCATGAACTACCCAATTATATAGCGACTACCATGCTGTGGTACAGGCCTAGACATCCTAAGAATTATTGCCATAGATCAGGCATTGTAGCCAAAATAACTGCAGGGGTAATGCTGGAGCTTTTCCGCGAGGGCCCTGGAGGACACGTTTCATAGGGCACGGCTGATGCACAATAGGGTAGGACTGAACAAGGAAGAATGGGGCCAGCTGTAGTGGGGATAGCAACTGGCGTGACTTGCAAGTGCTTCCCAGACATGTATCGATCTAAAAGCTTTAGCAACACAGTGAGTGGAATTAAAATATGAATGCTATGAACTACAAAATCAGTGACTGCAAAATAAAAGAAAACATTTAGCAATCACCAAAACATTTCAGTTTAAAAAGCAGTACTGATAGATTAGTTTCCTGAGTGATAAAAAACAGTGACAAAAAATTTGTTTTTGTTTTCATGTTAGTTATTTTCTAAGTGCTTAAAATATTTTTACTTATAAAATTTTCTTCAAGGATGGGTAAGGTCGTAGATACCTGTAATCCCAGCACTCGGGAGGATGAGGCACAACTTCAAGGTCGGTCCGGGCTACAAAGTGAGTTCAAGGCCAATATGAACCTCATAGTGAGACCCTGTCTCAAATGGAGAAAAATAAATTTTAAAAAAATACTCTCTTCAAAGTAAGGCAAAAATCTTGTCATCAGTCAATCGGAATATTATGAATCACAGAAAGGTCAGTACACTGTCTACAAAGAATAGGTTTCATTTGGAAAAATAGGAAGGCATGCACAGATGTAATAGGAAACATGCATACAGTTTGTCAATAAGCATATTTCCTAAAGTTCAGCTTCATCAATCATTAGGATATCTCATTACTTTTTGTTTTACTAATCAATAGAGAAATAGAGGGGGGGAGAAAGAGAGAAAAGAGGTAGACATGAGAAGGAAATCAGCATTTCTGAAGATTTTTAAAATAAAAATTACTTATATACTTCAAGGTGCTATACATTGAAAATATTTATAATATTTTAAAATGTAAAAATTTATTCCTAGAGATACTAACATAAGAGTGGATGTTTTAAATAAAATGGTAGCATGTTATTTACATATATACAAATTTATAATAGAATGTAACAGAAACATGTCAATAGTGAATGTATTAATTACAATACAGAACATGTCTACCATGGAATAAAGCCAATAAAATCATCCAAAAAGTTCTGTTTATATAGATCTAGAATGATTTCTATATAAACAATAAATAAGAGAATGTAAAATAAAATATTAACAGGACACTTCAAACAAATGTTTGAGCAAACAAAGTTCTCTAAAAATGTGTATGAAGTATTATTTACAGTGAATATTGAAAAATAGGATTTCATTTCCTAAGGCCTACATTTATATGTTATTTAAATGATCTACTGGTAGGTGTTGTAAGTTTGACAGAGAGATGAGTGGTGGGGTGGATATGAGCATGCATGAGTATTTAAATTGATACATAAATGATGCTAGTGGTTTCTTAATAAAAAGTGTTCCTCTTACATCTGGACCCTAGTGAAAACTGATGCTATCAGAACTATTAAAAATAATTGCTTCTCTGGAAATTATCACACACATATAGTAGGTCTGTATTAATTTCTTGTAAAAACCACTTCCAAGATTTTTTCTAAATTTTTAAACAAATGAAATGTACAACAAGAAATTTCCCTCGAACCAAGACAGAATCCAGACTTGTGGCAAAATGATGGTTTTCATTTACTATTGAAAATAGGCATGCATCACTGTTTATTTAAATGCACTTGAAATGAGAAATGGAAAGCAGGAAGAGTGTGAATTTCAACACTATTCATTATCTATATAAGGAAAATAATTGATAGTATTTTAGGCTATTGAGTTTAATAATAACATCCTCACTTACCTGTACCTACCACCTTGTCAAGAAAAGATGCCAGAAAGCAGTATTTCCATCACTCCTGGATCTCTTAAGATGTATTTTCTTCTGCTGCATGCTTAGTATTTCTCACAACTGCTATAGCTCTAAAAACAAACAAACAGCAGCAATGGGTGACCACTTGATGGCCTGTGATCTCATCCTCCAAATCGGTTATCATGGGAATTCTACTTGTGACTCTCTATTGTCTTCAAAATAAAAGTGCTGGAAGTTTTAAAAAACTAAATAGAAATCAGAGGAAACTTGTCTAATAAAACATAAAAATAAATTACCTCAAAAGAAAATTCACATCTGACATTTTGTTTATTCATAATTAAACATGCTTTGGACTAGTATTAGTGAAAAAACAATAGCCTTGACCTTGACAAACAATGTGTACACAAATAAGCAGTCATATGACACTCCTCAATCATACACATTTACTATTGTATATTGTATGAACTCCCTTTCAATGCATTACTTCATTTAGAACTTAATTTTTCTTTTTTTTCAACACATTACATTTTATTATCTTTAAAGTAGTTCTCAAGATAAAAGATATGGGAATAAAAGTTTTTTTTAATTTATTTTATTTAAAAAGATTAAGATAAAAGAGGACATAACAACACAGGTCAGAACAGAACAATTTAAGCAAAATAGTGTTTCACCACAAGATAACCTGACATAAGAGTAGTTACCATACTATCCCTTTCCTTGAAATATTTGAGTATACCTTCAGATACTATTGCATCAAACATAACAAGACAGTGTAAAACCATTGAAGAGAATGAAAATATTACATGGTATTCAAAACCAACTAACAGAAAATGAACAACGATTACTATATTATCCCCTTATCTATAAAAAATTTTGTTTGTACTATCACATATAATAAAATACAAAATGATACAACATGATAAAACCGAGGCAGACAGAAGAACAAAAGCTAGGTGGGACTTCAAAATGAGATGATATTAAATCATTACTAACTGTTATAGTGTCTTGTTTTCTTCAAAATAGCTGTTCATACCATCACAGACAATAAAATCAAGCAATCTAGAATAAAACCATTCCAAGTAATGAGTGAAAATATTATAAGGCTTCAAATCAATATACTGGGGAATCATGATCACTACATACTTTTATATATTCTTATCATTTCTTACACTAGGGAAACTATTTGGAAATTATACATGTGAGATAGATTTATTTTGCTTATGAGTATGGTCTCAAGCTGTGTCCATTTATTTATAAATATCTCAATGTAATAATTCTCTATAGCTAAGTAATACTCCATTGTATAAAAATACCACAGCTTTTTTATCCATTACTCAGTTGATG